CCTGCCCCCCAGGCGTATGTCCAGCTCCCCCCACATGCTCCACACATGCAAACAGCCCTGTGTTGCACAGGCACACACTCATGGCTTGCACACAGCTGCACACATGCAAAGCAGTAAGCGCCCCAGCGCCTGCACCCCTCAGGGCCCTGTCCTGGGCTGGCAGGACCCCACAGCAGCTGGACATGGGGCAGTGCCCAGGACCAGCGTTGCAGGCCCACGTGGGGCGTGCAGCGCTCGGGGCTGGGCAGGCATGTGCCGGGGGCAGTCGTGCCTGTGCAGGGCTGAACCGCCCTGTCCCTCCCCCGCAGAGCTGGTGCGGGAGACCACGGCCGCGCACCTGGCGCTGCTGGTCACCAAGAATGTGGCCATGTTCCCGGGGAACCAGGAGCGCTTCGCCGAGGGCCACATTGACGTCTGGTGGATCGTGCACGATGGCGGCATGCTGATGCTGCTGCCCTTCCTGCTGCGGCACCACAAGGTACCACTGCCTGCCGCCGGCTCGGGCGGGGGGCGGGCAATGCCCCAATTTGCTCTGGGTGCTGCTTTGTGGCTGGGAGCCTTGACTCCCCCAGCCCAAATCTCTGAGCTGAATTTCCCCATGGCCTTGGGCTGGTATTTGGAGGGGGGGGGCTGCCCCCACTCTTGTGCTGCAGGCTGGTACTGGGTTCCCAATGCCACCCGGTCCCCCCCCAGGCCCATCCCCAAGTGTCCAACTTGAATTTTTTCAGGGACCGGGTGTGTGTGTGTGGTGGGAGGTCCTCATCCCCTCTGTGCAGTCTTGGGGGTCCCGGGACCCCACATTTTGGGGGTGGGGTGGGGGGTTGTATTTTGGCCTCTGCCCTGGTGTGTGTGTTTGTGTGCGTGTCTGTAGATACATGTATATGTGTACATACCAATGTATGTTTGTGTCTGTATTTGTGCAGCTTTGTGTGTAAGTATACACACGTGTGTATGTACATATGTGTGTATAAATGTGTTTGTATGTATATGTATTTGTGTCCGTGTGTGCAGATTTCATAGATTTCATAGATTTCATAGAC